TAAATAAATAAAATCTTTAAAAAAAAAGAAAAGAAAAAGAAATATTAAATTCCATAAATATATGCTCCACTGTAAACACACTTTCAAATACTGACACAGAAAATTAATAAATGCTAATTTTCCAAAGCTTAATTTGTCGACTTGATCTAAGTTCTAAAGACTTACCTACCATATAACCTCTCACTTCCAGTTAATTATCCCATGAGCCCAGAATTCAACGAATGACCATTTAACTACATAAAACCGAAAAGAAATCAATGTCTATGTGTCTTCTGGTTATACCTGGATCTTGCAGGTTTGTGGTACTGACAGGTTTCTTCAGTTCAAAGCCCAGGAGATAGAGAGCAAGGTTGGGTGGGTTGCGTTCCAGAGAGGTGATGAGAAGATTCAAGATGTGGATTCTTGTTTCATGACGGATTCCAGCTAGCTTCTTTTCAAGTTCTGATCCTTAATGTGGAAATCCACAAAACAAAATTACAAAACAATAAACAAATCAAGATAAGTCAAGTTTAAATACATAAAGCTTGTATTCCAAACCTCCACATTCTCTTAAAGTTCACTTCATCAGCCATTAGAGTGCAGATTTAAGAGGTTTCCAGAAAGCCTTATGTGTTTGTGCCAGCAAATTCTCAAACTTCTCTTGTATCACCAAGAGACAAGTTAACAGTTTTCTTTATATTATTTATAAAGAGTAAAAAATGTCCATGTTAGTAGAAGACATACCCTCTTCTAGACGTACAAATTCTTCTGTATCTTCACTATCCAAACACTCCACAAATCCAGCCATCAGCTTCTGACTTACACTCTGGGGTCATATAAAGATTTTTTAAAAGACAAATTATAAGCTTCTTAAATATTAAAGAAACTATGATAAATATGCTATGGATTATAAACATTTGTCTACAAAGAAAAAAGGCAAATCTCTAAAGTACTTAGGTTTCAGTTTCGCTTTTAATTAATAGGAAACTCAGTTCCTTAAATTGCCCTAAGTTAGCTCTCTATAGAAATAATTAAAGAAACGAAGATTTTTTAAGTTACTGGTTTCAAAACTTGCTTCCCTAATTTTCTTTCCCAAAGGATCAAACCAGTTTTAAAAAAAAATAACATTAAATTGCCATCTCATGATCTCTTCATTGTATACCCAATGCTATGAGATCTTAACTAAAATATAAAATTCTCATCTTCTCTCTTTAGAAATGTATTGCTTATCACCAGTTTTACGTATCTGGGCTGGGCTGAGGGATTAGACACTACCCCATCTCCTTGAGGAACCTAGCAGGATATTAAAATTGGTAATAATAATTCATACTCAAATGTATATGAGTGAGCTGAGAACCCTCACTTTCCACATCCCCTATCATGTAGCTTTTGTGGGGTTTTTTTGTTACAATTAATTAATGGAACTTCAATATGTGGGTGATACACTGATTGCCAGCCCAACAAAGGAGGATTCTGATGAAAATACAATCCTCTCTATCATGTAGTTTTTTTTTTGTTTTTTTTTGTTTTTTGTTTTTGTTTTTTTTAAAGATTTTATTTATTTATTTGACAGAGAGAGAGATAGCGAGAGCAGGAGCACAAGCAGGGGGAGTGGGAGAGGGAGAAGCAGGCTTCCTGCCGAGCAGGGAGCCCGATGTGGGACTCGATCCCAGGACCCTGGGATCATGACCTGAGCCGAAGGCAGACGCTTAACGACTGAGCCACCCAGGCACCCTCTATCATGTAGTTTTATCCAAAAGCCAGATCAGACCGTGGTTCTCAACCTGGGTGGCACTGCTGCTCCAGACGGCACTTGGAAACATGTGGGGGCATTCTGAGTTGTCACAACTAGAGTTTACTACTGACAGACACTGGCAGGGCACCAGGGATGCTAAGAGTCTTGCAATATGAGGAAGAGTGACACAGAATGAAGATCTGTCCCATCTAAAATGCCAGAAGAGTCTCTTTTATTTTTTAAAGATTTTATTTATTTGAGAGAGGGAGAGCATGAGCGGGGGGGAGGGACAGAGGGAGAAGGAGAAAGAGAATTTCAAGCAGACTCCCCACTGAGTGCGGAGCCTGACATGGGGCTTGATCTCTGGACTCTGAGATCATGATCTGAGCCAAAATCAAGAGTCAGACACCCAACCAACTGAGCCACCCTGTCACCCCAAGAGTCCCTCTTTTAAAACACTGTACACAACAAAATTCAACTAGCTAAAGCAGTGATTTCTAACATGAAGATACAAGGGGAAAATGCCTATAAAGAGCAGGGGGAAAAAGTAGCAGATTCCCCAATAGTGGCTATTCAGCATAGAACCGAGCTATTCAGAATAGAAAGAGATTATAAATTAGATTAATAGAAGAACATCTGAAAACTGTCTACAGTGCAATATCAAATGAAGTGACACAAATGGAAGTCACCAGAAAGCCACAGCAGTAGACAACTCAACAGTGAGACACATTCAGAATTGCACAGGCTCACTCAGACTACGGTCAGAGTGACTGACAGAGTGAGACAAAGGATGCAGAACACAAGCAGAAGCCACACTTACAAACCTCATCACCTTAATGTACTCAGAGGGGCAAGAGTTTCCCTCCGCCTGCCAGGCACACACCGCAGCGTCTGGAGCATCACTGTGGATGGTGTTCTCTTCAAAACAGATCACAGCCCAGTACATGTACGGGTCTTCACCATCATATATAAATATACTTACTCTCACAGAATTTTTTCATAAATATGAGTAAGATTCCTCCACAGACACTGTGACTTCCATACGTACTCAGAAAGTACCAGAAGAATTAACAACACCAAAATCAGTTACCTGGTCATGTGTGAAATCTCCAACCAATTTTATCTGAATATTGGAATTGCAAGAGATACAGCAGAGGATCTTGGCACTTTCAAAAGCCAATTCCGGATTAGTATTGCCATGATAGAGGTATCTTTAAAACAAAAAAACATTTGACGAACAATGTGACAAAACTTTTGGCTTTTCACTCCTCTCTACAAGGAACATTTAGAACCAGGCCATACAGCACTCCTCGGTGAATGAGACAAAGGTTTCTGTTCTAACTAGATGCAGTCTGTTATGGGTTGAATTGCATTCCTCCAAAATTCAGTCGTTGGTATCTGAACACGCAGTGCTCAATCAAGACACACAGTGACCTTATTTGGAAATAGGGTCTTTGCAGACACAGTCAGTCAAGTTAAGGTGAGGTCATTATAGACAGCCTGGTCCAATGACTGCTGTCCTTATTGAAAGGGGGGATTTGGAACAGACGCACACACACGGGAGAACACCATGTGAAGCTGAAGGCGGCAATGCAGGGGACACCTCTATAAGTCACAGAACACCAAACACTGCCAAGCAAGCCACCGGAAGCTAGGGTACACACACTGGTAAGCTTCCTTCCTAGCCCCTAACCGCCAAACTTCCAGCTTCCCTGAAGGAGACAAACTATATATATATTTTTTTTTTTTTTTATTAGTTTCAGAGGTAGAATTTAGTGATTCATCAGTTGCATAGAACACCCAGTGCGCATTCCATCACGTGCCCTCCTTACTGCCCATCGCCCAGTCACCCCTTCTCCCCACCCACCACCCCTCTCTAGTAACCCTCGGTTTGTTTCCTAGAGTTCAGCATCTCTTGTGGTTTGCCTCCCTCTTAATTTTCATCTTATTTTATTTTTCCTTCCCTTCCCCTAAGGTTATGTGTTGTTTCTTAAATTCCACATGAGTGAAATCATAAGATATTTGTCTTTCTCTGACTGACTTATTTCACTTAGAATAATACCCTCTAGTTCCATCCACAGCGTTGCAAATGGCAAGATTTCATTATTTTTGATGGCTAAGTAATATTCCATGGCACGTGTGCGTGCGTGTGTGTGTGTGTATATACATACACACACATCTTCTTTATAAATTCATCTGTCAATGGACTTCTGGGCTCCTTCCTTTGTTTGGCTATTGTGGACACTGCTGCTATAAACATTGGGGTATATGTGCCCCTTCGAATCACTGTGTTTGTATCCTTTGGATAAATACCTACTAGTTCAATTACTGGGTCATAGGGTAACTCTATTTTTTAACTTTTTGAGGAACCTCCAAACTGTTTTCCTGAGTGGCTGCACCAGTTTATATTCCCACCAACAGTGTAAGAGGGTTCCACTCCAGGAGACAAACAATATTAAGATAATGTCATTTTATACTTAGAAATGTTTAGGATATGGAATCCATCAGAAGGAAAAAAAGAAATTGTAAACATCAGAGTAATTAAAATCAGAAGGGCTAAAGAAGACAAGAACAAAATGAGCCCCCTACCCCCCAAATAATGAATAAGGGATCTGACCAGATTTGGAAATCAAAGGTAGAATGCCCACGTGTTTTCGTCATTTTTCTACCTACTTACCTGGCAATATTCACCACATTATCAGCCTTCTTAGTTCTGGGATTGATTCCCTGTAACAGCTGTTCTAAAGGAGAGACTATTAGAGCCAGCTGACTCTCTCTTAGAAGATCCATAAAGAGATTTTCCTTTTGCAGAGTCAGATTGAGAAGTGCAAGGCAATGCTGCACTGCTTTCTCCAAGTGTTTCTTCCCTACAAAAAACATAAACTGAAGTTAGAAAGTTCTACATGAATCTTAGAAATGCACAGTTCTTAGAAAAACAAGCTAAAGGACAAGTTCTAGACTCAAAAGGCCCTCAAGTGTTCACTTGCAGCAGCAACTTCATAAAACTACTCACCCATGCCAATTCACAGTAATTATCGTACCTTAAGATTACCTGTATGCAGTGGCTTCTCAGTCACTTTCCCTTATCTCTTCATTGATTATTTAGAGAAATGGTTCCCAGATTGGGCGGGGGGGTGATTTAGGCCCCAGAGGACACTTGGCAAGGCCTAGAGATAATTTTGGTTGTCACAACTGGAAAAGCACTACAGGCATCTAGTGGGTAGAGGCCTACAACGCACAGGACGGTCCACACAACAAAGAATTATATGGCCCAAGATGTCAATGGCACCAAGACTGAGAAACTGATTTAGAGTAATACATACTCATTGCAGAAAAATCTGCAAATAAAGAAACAGAATTTGAACAAGGATCATCTATAATCCCACCATTCAAATTTAAAATACATGGACTCTGGAGCCAAACTGCCTAGGTTCAAATCACAGAGCTACAACTTACTGTGGAAATACATGAAACCACTTTGTCACATCAATTTCCTTATTTGCAAACTGGAAATAATAATACCTAATAACAGGGATTTTGTACAGATTAAATGTGTTGGGGCGCTGGGTGGCTCAGTCGTTAAG